GACCGTTCCTGCTATGATGCTGCGCATCTGCCATGCCCTGCGGGCGACTGTGCGAGTTCACGTGACAAAGGAAGAGAGAGAGGCTGGTCGGGCGTGCGTAAGGAAGTGGCTCATTTCAGGGCATTGTTTCAGTCGTTTTTAATGGCTCAGGTTTTCAAAAGATCATTTCAAAACCGACCTCAGTAAAATCTTAATAATATTAATAATAATTAAAAAAAATGAGTTTCAAAAGGGCATTTTCTTTGATAAAGGGCAAACTTCCTAGTGCTTTAGCACCACCTAGTGTCTATGTATGCACGCCCCTGGGTGTTGGAGACACGGGTACCCACCATCTGCCAAGATGAAGTGGCCCGGAGGAGGGTAGATGGCCCGCCTGTACAATGGGCTGTTCCGGAACACGCTGGAGTCATGCACCGACCCCGGCCAGCCCACGTACGTGTTGATGAAGCGGCCCTGATGGTCACAAACTGCCTGTAGAATGATGGAGGAGAACAGTTTCCTGTTGCGATAGCAGTGACCATCAGGACCGCTTGGAGGCTTGATCCTCACATGGCAGCCATCCATCGCTCCAAAAGCTTTCAGAAAAGCTCTGTGTCCTGCCAGCCCTTCAAACCCCTCTAGTGAATGTTAACCCCTTAACGCCTGGTGTTGCCAATTTGGGACCAAACAATTCTGGCCTTTACTTATTTTACTTCATCTAGATCCACTATTTAACTTTTTTTTTCATTTTTATATTTATTTTTCCTGTATTATTTTTCTGTTATCTAATTGCAAATAAAATCAGGCAGTAAGTGGATAACAATTTAGACAAATAAGGATTTATTTCTCAATAATACAGTTTGCCTTCTCCACACAACAGTAGTGATAGTGAAAGTAGTGATTTAAGTCAGTTATTTACAGGGATTGTAAACATTTAACTATTCAATTCAAATACTAAAGTTACAAACATAAGCTTATACCAAGTCTTAAAAATAAATCTAAAATTTGATATTTAACGATATTCGTCAATCTGCTGACAAGTGTTTGATTAATAACTGGTATATTATGATCATTAGCAGACCCTAGTGGGGGAAAATAATAGCAGGTAAATGTTACCTCTCCACTGCGCTCTGCCAGTCTCAAAAAAATCTGGTGCCGGTTTTGCTGCCGCCGAATCCGACTCTCCTCCTCCAACAACAAGTAAATAAAATAAAATAAAAATTTCCGTGTCCATTTCGGTTGATTCTTCTGTTAAATGTCTAATTTCTAAATTTTTAATGGCGCGGTTTTTCCCGGGCTTTGTGTAGACACGATGACGTCGTGTCGTAACCAGGAAGTGCTCCAAAGGCTAGACCGTCCCATTTACCAACGGCTGAGGATCCTCCGGAGTAGCCTACCAAGTATGGGTCCTCCGGAGGCTAGGTAGGCTGGGTCCTCGGAAGTACGCAGCCTGCGAATTGAGACACAGCTAACGTCCTCCTTTTTGGTGCTATAGAAATGGCCACCCTACCCAGCTATATAAGGGCTGTTTGCCATTTAGAAATAGCTGCTTGTTTTGTTTATGAGGATCCAAAATAAATGGTGGTCTTCAGCTTTTTTAGAGCTTTAGATCTCTCTCTGTGTTTCTGTTAGCTAGTTGTAGATGACATCCCGTTTAATCAGAAGGAATCCTGTCAGATTGTCCTTCCATCGAGTTGGTGTGGTTGGTTAACTGATTTGGTTCCTTCCATTAAAGTTAAATACTATCCTGGCCCCATACAGTTAATAACCTTAGGCTGCATATCTAGATAAAATCAAAATTTTCTGCAGCTGTATTTTGTTTTTAAAAAAGCTAACCAAACTTGCTAGATAGGTTTGTTAAAGCCCTCATGGGGAGTCTTTCAGCCTCCAGCTAAGCTCGGCCCACAGAAATACATCACGATGTTCACCAAATGTGTAAGACATCAGAATCAGTTACTTGATGAGTCGCATAGATTCCTCTTAATTCTTCTGTTAAAGAAAGCTAATCAGAATCTATTCAACCTTATCTTTAAAGGTTTGTAAAACTAGAACTGGCCTCCATTAGAGAAGCACTAACAAGTTGAACCTTTTAGGAATACAGAATTGTTGAAATATTGTACTCAGTCTGTGTGGAAGAAACATCCTAGACTGCCCTGTCATCCATTTTATGGTACATAAAAGTTTGTTATGTAACCTCTGGTCATATGTCAAGTTTTACTTTAATTGAGATTGGTTCCTCTGAGAAGCATTGAAGCATTAGTTCTATATGCATTGCAGGAAGCACAAAGCAGAGATGGTAAGAGACGGAGAGAAGCCAACATTTCTGCAATCAAGCACATGTCCTGTTAGAGATTTCTGTCACTCATCCAAGGTTCTTCTCTCTGTTCCAGATATAGAAGTAAATCAGACAACTAGACGATGCGTGGATGAGAAATTACTGTGTTTATGCGACGATATACTGGAAAAAGAAATTCCTTCTCAGTAAATATTTTTTTGCAAGGCATCTATTATGCTAGCAATTATCAGCTACCTGCCCCATTCTGTCTTGTCTCATCCTTTCTCAGTCATTCCGTAAAAGTAAAAAAAAATATCCACTGGACAAATGTCAGACATTTGAATTGAGAAAGCTTCCTGGAGAGGTGGCGAAACGTCTTCAAATCTTGTAAAACCAAGTCCAGTGGATATTTTTTTAAGTTTTACGGAATTTCCCTGTTTATCCTCACCTTCCACCCACACAATTCTGCCATTTCTACATATTCATTCAACTCTGGCAAAGCGTATGGTGGTAAATGCTAATAGGTTCTCATGCTCACATACCATACACTGAGCGGTAAATGACTCTGTGTTTTTGTGTGTGTGTGTGTGGGTAAAAGACTGGCTGGTCAGTCCACTGCTCCATTAGCCAAATGGAGTTTCTATTAAATTAGAACCTGTCCCTTTACTCTGTCTCTGTCTGTCCTTTTCTCTCTCCCTCTCTCAATCACATTAGTGCTCTTATCCCATTTGTAGAGGCAGCACAGGCCGGGAGGAAGAAGCTTTGGGTGAAGTGAGGGGTGGAGTTATGATGTGGAAGTACTTTAGAAGAATATCAAGCCCTGGAATCGTGGAGATGCACAGGAAGCTGACGTGTGGATTGATACATATTTGGTGGGATTGTTGTTGGTTAGTGATAATTCATTTTATCTCAGATAAAAGAAAATGTTTAAAAAGAATGATCCATTTACAAGCCTCTGAAAGATTTCAATGCTTTTAATGATTTAAACAGGACTTTGGAAAATTAGTGTATTTTTCTACTATGCTTCTACTATACTAATTATTTGCATGTGTGTGAAGAGTTGTGTGTCTGTATCTTGATTTGTGTGCGTGAAGCTGGATTTGAAAATGCGTAAATAAATCTGGAAATGTGTGACAAGATTTGTTTGTCTGTACAACAATCTGCAAATGTGTAAAACTACTTGTGTTTGTAATCTGGTTTGCAGATTTGCAAATGTGCACTAAGATTTGTAAATGTGTAGAACAAACCTGTAAATACACACAGAGAGACTATGTTCGAAGTGTAACTCTGAAATACAGACAAATCACTGTTTACAAGTCAAGTTTTTTTGACGGTTGGCTCTCTTACTAACACAGACAAGATTTTTGCTACATTCCAAAAGAAATGTAAAACAATTCCCTCGACTTGGTTTCCACATTTGAAGACGATTCTCTCAAACTTCGAAACCAAGTCCAGTGGATTGTTTGAAATTTCTTTTTGAATAACTATGACCCGGATGACTGAGAACCTTCAACAGATTTCTCTGCACATGCGTAGAGAGGATTTATTTGTGTAATATCTGGATTTGCTGCCCTGAGCGCAGGCTCAAAATCTCACAGGCAGCCTATTCCTTTCCTATCCTGCAGCAGGAGTTGACGTGACAAGAAAAGATGGCTGCTAACAACAAGGTCGATTGGATGTTTGAGGCTACGAATAATCCATGTGTAAATAACTTTAGTTGAAAAAAAACAAATGGAACTTAACATATTTATAATATAATACAAATTTTGAAGTTGTCATGGATAGGCAAATTTAGATAATTAGTGGTGCTAATGTACAGGACTGCGTGGTACCGGTTGTTACCTCTATCACTCTTGCTCTTTTAAGACCGGAAGACGCAAAAATTACGGTGAGTTGTACTATGATCCGGATGAGGTTTTCTATGTGTGCAACAAGTTTGGTGACAGTATATTGGCCGTTATATGCTTAAAATAGAAATGAGAAAATCTGAGCAAATAGAGTTGTGCACATTTTTGATATCTTAAAATGTATCCTGTCAAGGAAAAAGTGTGAAATATGCTTTTTTTCCCCCTCTCCATCCCCAATGTGGCTCCTATCTTTCCACAAAGATAAAGGCAGCGCTGTAGGGAACCGCCTCATGGCAGCAACAAGAACGCACCAAAGGCAGCGTTCTGCAGCTAGCCTTGCCTCAGTAAATCATTCCCCCTGTCAGCCCCCACCCCAATGTATGCAATGTATGTGATGAACAGTTGTACTGAAACTGAAATCTCAATTACAATGTAAATTGCTGTCGACAGAGGATCCTGTTTGGGTTAACTGAGTGTTGTAGCTGTCCAGATGATCTCCATCTGAGGTTAAGTTATTTTTTCTATGATATCTCTGTATCTCAGTAACTCTAACTGACCACAACTACTTTAAAACACAGCGCCTTCTGGTGCACTTTTCTACTGAGCACTTGTCAGTTTCACACAGTTTTATTTCTGGTAGTAAGGAGTAGCTAGCCTAGGCTAGCGCTAGCTTAGCATTGCTATGGCTTCTCTTTCTCCCTTCCTTGACTCTTTTCCAACTCTTCCTTCTTCCTCTCCTGCTCTCTGTGTCAGATGTTCAGTTATTCCTCTGCCTCCTTTAGTGATAATGGGAAGTGTAATAAGTGTAGTATTTTTGTAGCTTTGGAGGCAAGGGTGTCAGAGTTAGAATCCAGGGCCGTTTCTCAATATGCGCTCTTGAGCTTTCTTTTGTGCTCGTGTACTCGTGACACGTCATCAGCCTCAGCCTGAGTACCGTTCCAATTCTCCAGAACGCCAGATCAAGAACGCACCAAATCCCCGGATGTTGTTCTCCCCCCCGCCCTCTTTATCGAGCATGCATCAGAGCAGACTTGTGCGTTCTTCAGACTGACCGCTTTCCCAGAATGCCACAGAAGGCCACAGCTTCATTCGAGACAGCGCTCACAGTGGTAAGTTAAACATTCCCTTTTCTGTTGCTGTTGTTCTTCTAAAATACGTTTTGAAATCGTTTGAGGCGATAACATTATACATTTAAGCCTCCCTGTGTGGCCTGTTTACAGAGTTAGTGCGAAATAATAAAAAAAAAGTCAGACGTTGAGCGGACCAGAGTGACCAGCAGACCTCCGAGGGTAACCGCAGCCAGGGCTAATGTTACCCCGTCTGTAGTGCACTTCTCTCAGTCTAGTTATGTGTGAACTACCGCTCGTTCTGATGGCGTTTTTTTGCTTTAATTCGGCTAAACGTCCATTTGTTTTGTGTTTATCTGACTGGCTTGTGCTGCTTTATTAAGTCAATACTTGCTGGAATAAATTGTAAATGTCTCCAAAGGACAACATCAACATCCAGACCATCATGGCTGAACTCTTGGAAAAAACGCATAACTGTAGGCAGAAGAAGCAGTTAGTTATCAGCTATTATATAGGTTGCAAAATATGTTTGGTTTGTGTAAAGTAATTCCTAATTTACATTTATATTTTAAACAGGGACCACAGAATAAATCCAGGCCCTTATAAATTGGCGCATTGCAAATGACAGCTTATTTACTGGCAAAAGGAACTCCTCCAAAACCGGATGGGAATGAGTAATTTTAATTTATGTCTGCCTAAATGTCCATCTTCAGCTCTTGTAATGCTAAACTTGTTTTTGTTATTCAACTAGTGATTTTGTGAGAGCCTCTGGCCTGCAGGTCACAGCAAAGCAGGCCAAGAAGAAGTGGCACAATTTGGTGCAAAAATACAAGGTAAAATAACAAAACTCCCTGCATAATATTAGCTCACGTTATGTTTTATTCACACCACATTTCTGGTATTACCACAGAAAACCCAGTGTTGAGGGATTGTACAATTGTACAGATTGACTAAAATGATAAACCATTTTTCAGGAACTCCGAGACCCACCTACTGGGCAGGGGGTTGAGGCTGGTGGTGTGACTGCTGCCACCTGGCAGTGGTATGAGCTGCTTGATGCTGCACTCCAGGGGCAGCACAATACCAGTCCGCCCCTGGTTGTGGCCAGCAGCTCGTCTGACTCTGCCGGTGGGGGGGTGACGACCTCAGCCTCTACCCCTTCCTCAACACCAGAAAGGACAGAGAGGCAGGCCAGGAAGAGAAGCAGTGAGGTCCTGCTTGACTTCTTGAAGGAGCAGGCTGAGAGGGATGAGGAGAGAGAGAGGTCAGCCTTGGCTAGGGAGGAAGCCAGGGACAGAGAGGCTTCTGAAGGGGCCAATAAATATTTGGCCCTTTTTGAAAAACTTGTTGAAAAGTTATAAATAAAATATAAAAATGTTTTTCCTTTCTAAGTGAGTTTCTTCTGAGTGAGGACAAAAATAATTAAGAGGAGAAAGAGAGTGTTGGGATCTGGAGATTTACCTTTCTCCAGCAGAGTGCACTTTGGGTCTCCTGGGCTGGAGCCTCCAGCACACCTGAAGCGCATCAGCCCATCAGGATACCTTCCTACATAAGCAGCAGCCAGACCTTCCTTCAACGCCGCAGTTAGAAAGAATCTTAGTTGTCTCTAGAGAGAAACCTGATTCTAACCTGCCTCTGTCTTCTTGCTCACAGGAAACCCGTCTAAAGTCTGGAAGCTCTGGATGACCTTTGCATGTAAACCTGCCTGCCTGCCCAAGGGAGCCAAACCTGAAGATTTCAATCTGGACTCCTCCTGCTGCTCTCAAGGAAGAGCTGGAAACTCAAATCAAGGTCTGCCACTCACAAGTCAGAAGCTAGACGCTGCTGCTGCTGAGCACTCTGCTGAACCAACAGCCTCTGGACCACACCGGTTCCCTCTCTCACAAAGATCAGTCTGGACCTCTTCAAGGTATACTCTGAATAATCTAAACTCAACTAACCATCTGACTGTCTGGCTAATCAAACTATCCGTCTCTGCAGACATCAGTGAATCCAGCCCCGGACCAGTGCCTGAACCAGTTCATGTCCTCTATGTGAAAACCTTTCAATAAACTCTGTTATACTTTTACTCTGCTTCCAGTGGTGTTCTGCATGTGGGTTAAGTCTCTTAAGCCAATCATGACAGAACACTGCGGCCAAACACAAAACCCAGAAGATCACCTCCTGAGGAGGCTTGAGGAGCAAGCTGCCCAAATCCAAGGACATGCACTCACCCTCCGTGAGTTAAACACTCATATTGAACAGGTTCTCTTCTGAGTCCAACTTTTCATGTACCTTTTCTGAATTTATATCTGAGTTTTCTCAAGTTTTCAACCATGACTCGGACAAAACTATTGATTCCTGAGCCCTGCTGATTTTAAAGCAGGGAAATTCGACAGTGGCTGAGTTCTCCATTGACTTCCGGGTTAAAGCCGCAGCCTCAGGCTGGAACGAGTGCGCACTTAAAGAGAAGTTTTTGGTTCCAAGCTTCAAATCAGCAGTTGAGGCTAAAACATGCTTTTCACACTGAGAGGAGCTCAATTTGGCCTCCTTAGCTGAAACAGACAAACCGTTAATGATACAGCCATGATCATTTCTGGCAATCATTTTGAGCTGAAAACTAACAATATAGAGTACATTTAAACTGAAGTTTTTGGTTCCAAGCTTCAAATCAGCAGTTGAGGCCGAAACGCACTTTTCACACTGAGAGGAGCTCAATTTGGCCTCTCTAGCTGAAACAGACAAACTGTTAATGATACATCGTTGATCATTTCTGGCAATCATTTTGAGCTGAAAACTAACAATATAGAGTACGTTTAAACAGAAGTTTTTGGTTCCAAACTTCAAATCAGCAGTTGAGGCCGAAACGCACCCTCTTCACACTGAGAGGAGCTCAATTTGGCCTCTCTAGCTGAAACAGACAAACTGTTAATGATACAGCCATGATCTTTTCTGGCAATCATTTTGAGCTGAAAACTAAAATCATAAAGTAGATTTGAGCAGATGTTTTTGGTTCCAAGCTTCAAATCGCCAGTTGAGGCCAAAACACACTTTTCACACTGAGAGGAGCTCAATTGGGCCTCTCTAGCTGAAACAGACAAACCATTAATGATACAGCCATGATCTTTTCTGGCAATCATTTTGAGCTGAAAACTAACAATATAAAGTAGATTGAAACAGAAGTTTTTGGTTCCAAGCTTCAAATCGGCAGTTGAGGCCAAAACGCACTTTTCACACTGAGAGGAGCTCAATTTGGCCTCCCTAGCTGAAACAGACAAACCGTTGATGATACAGCCATGATATTTTCTGGCAATCATTTTGAGCTGAAAACTAACAATATAAAGTAGATTGAAACAGAAGTTTTTGGTTCCAAGCTTCAAATCGGCAGTTGAGGCCAAAACGCACTTTTCAAACTGAGAGGAGCTCCATTGGTCCTCTCTAGCTGAAACAGACAAACCGTTAATTATACAGCCATCATCTTTGTTGGCAATCATTTTGAGCTCAAAACTAACAATATGAAGTAGATTTAAACAGATTTTTTGCTTCCAAGCTTCAAATCAGCAGTTGAGGCCCAAACGCACTTTTCACACTGAGAGGAGCTCAGTTTGGCCTCTCTAGCTGAAACAGAAAAACCGTTAATGATACAGCCATTATCTTTTCTGAACAATCATTTTGAGCTGAAAACTAACAATATAAAGTAGATTTGAGCAGATGCATTTGGTTCCAAGCTTAAAATCAGAAGCTGAGGCCGAAACAGGCTTTTCAGACCGCGAGGTGCTCAATTTGGCCTCTCTAGCTGAAACACACAAACCATTAATGATACAGCCATGATCTTTTCTGGCAATCATTTTGTGTCAAAAACTAAGAAAATAAAGTAGATTTGA